CAGCAATTAACCACTAAGAAGAATATATGCAGTGTATTATTTGTTGAAACTGTACTTTCGATTTGATTTGAAACTGTCTCAATGCTATCTGTTTATCAATAAAATTTTGAAAAAAAAATGGCGGTGGCTACACCAGGTTCCACAGTGGTAGTAGCATAAAGAATTTGTTCCTCAGAATCAGGTTCAGAGTACTCAGAAATCCAGGCACTTTACCCCTACGGCCAAGAGAATGGAAATCTTGACTACTTCTCTAGGTGGTAGAAGACTTTGGCATCATCAATATGGTGCTGATTTAGGTGCATGAAGAATGCAGGAGCTCTGAGGTTAAGAAGGTTTCCACCTAGATTTCAGAAGGCCTGGGAAGCCAAGCAGTGTGCCTGTGAGAGGGCAGTATGTGAAGCTGTGAGTGTGAAGCCAAGGGTTCTGTGGCGACCCTAGAAGTTTTGAAAAGCCAGGAGGGTACACAGCAGACCCAAGAAAGCAATCATGAGAGCTGTAACCCCCAGAAGTGCCCTAGAGGCAGAGCTACATGAAGCTCAGTTTCCCAGAGATTACCTCAGATGTTGGAACTAGCCTGCTGGGTTTTTTGGACTTGCTTTGGTCCCATTCCTTTGTATCTCCACTTGTACCTTCTGTAGTGGAAATGTCTGTCCTATTGAATGTTGGAAGTATCTAACTTTTCATTTGTACAGGGGCTGACAGGTCAGAGTTTGCCTTAGATCTCAAAGGAGACTTGAGACTTTGACTTTTCAACTTGGGATTTTGGCAACACTTAGAGATGGACTAAGTGCCTTTTGCAGAAAGCAATGTGCATGGGTCTTGGGGTGGGGTCAGAGATGAAATGTCATGGTTTGTGTTTAGATGTGTCCCCCACCTGCAACCCCTGCGGAGCCCCATGCTGTCATGGGGAAAACTTCTAGGGTTTTTGATTGACTTATTGTCCAATGCTGGGAGCATTAGTGTGAGTGGACTAGGAAGCCTGAATACAATACAAGAGAGAGAAAGAGATTTACTCTCGGCTGCTCCTCCTTTTTTGCTCTTACTGCTTTTGCCATTTTCTGTCACCATGAACTGCTACTCTCTGCTATTTGCCACTCTGCCTTGGAGCCAGCCAAATATGGACTGAAATCTACACAAACCAGTACTATGCTTCAAAGCTACAGGAAAAGCAACCAAAAGGCCTGCTACTAGTGTGAGGCCATTGGAACACGACACTTATACTGCAGCTAGAACCTGCATCTCATTGACGTCATCATCCTGTGACCACTTTGCAGGAGCCCTAATTGGAAGGTATAGAGTTGGTCATAATGGCAGGTGAAGAAATTAAGAAGACTATCCAGTAGAAAATCATGAGTATCTGTCAACACTTGAGAATTCCAAAGGTGCTGTGGATGAGATGCTGAAGACCATGGTATCTGTTTCAACAAATGAGTTGTTGCAGAAGTTGGACCCACTTGAATAAGCTAAAGTGGATTTAGTTTCTTCATGCACATTAAATTCAATGTTTTGGGTTTATGTGGCAACTTAAGGAGTCAATCCTAAGGAGCATTCAGTAAAGCAGGAATTGGAAAAACAGAGTATACATGGACCAAGTCAAGAAAATGACAGACAAAAAGAAGGCTGGCAAGCCGGCTAGAGGTGCAGCTTCAAGATTTGTGCAAAATGCCCTCTGGGAACCAAAGCCTAAAAAAGCAACAAAAGTTGCCAAAGTAAAAATTAACTTTGTTTCTTGATGTACTCATACTCTAAAAGTACATCATTTTTATTGTTTTCACAGCGTAAGCAGTTATGTTTCAATGAGAAGTGTAAATTTATTCTCTTTTGAATTCATATTTAAATTTACATTTTAAAATTATAGTGCTAAGTATTTCCCCCAAAGAAAGACTGATTCATCTTTGCTGATTTTCCTATAGAGCACCGTGAGGTTTTTAGCATTGTGATATGTTTTATATTTATAGTTTACCATCTCTTTGGTGAGATATTCACTTCTTTATATAGATCAGTCTTTTTGAGATAGGGTTTGGTTGTATAGTTTAGACTGGCCTTGAACTTACTATGTAGCCAAGGCTGACCTTGAATTTGAGGCGATCCCCCTACCATGGTCTCCTGAGTCCTGGGATTACAGATGTGTAAAACCACTGCCAACCTATTTGGGTCAACTTTGCAAATATCATTTTGTAAGTGACTCTGAAATTTAAGTTAAATGTTCTTTGTAAACATTTGTACTATTTTAAGTAGATAATAACCTTATAACATGTGCTATCTATAGATTGAAATTTTAAATACATGTGTTTTTACTGTATGATATTAAGAATGAAATGGCTTAGACATCTAATTTTTCTGTGTGGTTAATTCATCAGTTTCCTTGTTGCAGAAATTATTGCTTTTTGATATTCAAAGTATGAAATCAAAACTTTAGTACTTTAATTCTTGGTATATTGCCTCTGTCATATTTAAAATAAAAGGTATTTTCATTAACTTCATGTGGGAAATAAGGTTGTATGTTCATGGTTGAATGTTGGTCTGGTGGCTGTCCCTCTTAATCAAAGACAAACAATTGTTCACATTAAACGCATAGAGAATCTATAAAATAAAATACAGTATGGATTAGTTTTAAGTAACGAGAGTATAGCCTTTTAAAAGCTACATGATATTTTTCTTTTTCTGTAAAATATGTGTAGTTAGAAATAGAAATAATTGGCATGTTTCATAAAAGATATTCTGTTAACAGTAAGAGAAGGTTGGTCCTGTGAGAGAGTGACAATTCCTGCTGAAGCCCAGTCCCTCCCAAGGACTGGAAAAGGGGCAGGTAAAGGGAGGAAACAAGGATGTACTTGTGCTGCCCTTGTCTGACCAGCAGAGGCAGCAAGGAGCTAAAGGAATTGCTTTTTCTCCCCACATTTAGGTCTGAGAGAAGACTGCCATCCTAGCCAGACTTAAGCTTGTAGCTGTGGTCAGAGTTATGCCAGCCCAAGCCTTGCTGCCCACCCTGTTCCTCTGCATGCTGCTGCTGTTCATGCAGACTCAGGGAGGCCACCGTGAACGTGAATGGTACACGATGCAGGGTAAGTAATGGCTGGATGGGCGTTTGGGGTGGTGGGAAGGGGAGAATGTGCCCAGTCTGAAGAGTTTATGGGTTGCACTACTTCTCTACACACCCAGCTCTACCCACCGCTTTGTAAACTCTAGCTTGTAACACCCCACTGTCCTCCATTACCCAGGCCTATGAAGGGCAGTAGGATAGGGAAAGACTCACACTTCCTTTCCAACAATCCAGAAACAAATGGGACGTACTGTGGTGAAAGTTGCACCAGGGTTGAGAATCTATTGAGAAAGTAAGGCAGGTATTCTCTAACTTATGCACATTTGTGAAAGGTAACATTCAGAAGTTTATGGGGATGGCTGTAGGTGATAAATGAGCATAGCTATAGAAAGAAAGGACACTATGGGGTGTACAGAGTCAACATAGAGTGATCCTTAGAGGCAGGAGGGGGTTGGAAGGAGAAGGGAAACTATTGAAGGGACTGGGATGCTGAATACAGTGACAGTGAAAAGAAGAAAAGGGGGCAAGAAGCAAGTTTATCTTGCCCTTGGATTCGGAAATTCTAGAGAGTGGGAAGGGTTTGAGAGATGCCTTGAGCTTCTCTGAGCTCTCTGGGTTAGAGTGCAGATTGCATAAGGGTGACATACAGGAGTCTAGGTATTTCAGGTTCATCATCGTCTCTGCTAAGACCAAGCCTAATAGCAGAAAGAGGATCCAGGAGCCCAGACATTGAGCTCCATAGAAGAATGAGAAGTTAGTATGGAGAACATAATGTTTAAGACACTACTGATCACCAGGATTTGGTAAGGACCCCCAAAGAAATTTTCTAGAAAAATCTAATCAGTGTGTCTTGGGTTCTGGGAGGAGTTTTAAGCTTGAGAAGGCTGCTTCCTAATTAGCTGTTCCCACTTATCTTGCTCCTGCTCCTTTTCAGAAATACAACCAGTCCCCCAAATCAAGGTCTGTGAGAAGCTACCTGAATTTTATCAATGCAACCGCCAGTGTGAAACTCACCAAGACTGCCAAGCAAATAATATATGCTGCTCAACCTTCTGTGGGAACATTTGCATGAGTCTCCTATGAGGGGAGTATGCTCCCTGCTCCCCCAGTCCTCCACTCACAAACTGAATGAGAATCAGAAACGTGAAAACCTCAAAGCAAGTGTACAAGAATGTGAACCAGAAGGCTGCCCTCCCTATTGTTTGGACCCCTAACCTGTCAAATAAACCAGGATTAATGTCCCAAGACTTGTCTCCTTTACTCCCACTGCTGTTATCACTGAGAACCTAGCACAGCCCCCTCATATGCCTGCCCTTCTCTGCACCAGGCTCCCCTCTCTCCCTACTCTCATCTCTCTGTTTCTTTCCTGGCCCAAGCACTCCTGACACCGTGGGAGGCTCAGCCTGTGTGGCTCTGCTCACTGAACCAGTTCTTCCAGGGGGAAAACTGCTTGTGCATAGCATCTGCCAATGCCAAGGAGATCATTTCTCCCCCTGGGGTGAGAAGGACCAAGCTAAGCATGAGCTAAGAGGAGGCAGAATTTTGAACTGGAGTAGAAGCTTCCCAGTTTTCCACTTTGGCCTTGCTCACCCTTGCCCAGCTCTCCCCAGTCTCCTTCTGTGGTTCAGATTAGTGTTTCTTTACTATAGAGAGCCCTTCCTGATCCCCATCTTGGTGCAGGAAGTTTATCCCATGGAAAGTTATTGGAACTCTAGTGAGTTAATCCTAATCTACCACTTCCAGTGCAATTTATGGCAAGAATAAAAACACTAAGGCATATTTGTAGTTATGGAGAGTCAAAGGGTCCTAGGTCCAGCCATGATGATGGCTATGTGGAACAACAGTCTTAACCCAAAGTTAACCTAGGTTTCATTCATTTATGAAGAAAGGAGTGGCCTAAGGATGAGTGACTATGAGAATGGTGGGAAGCAGGTGAGTGTTGTGAGCTGGGCTAGGTAGAAGGCCTGCTTTTACTTCTGCAATATGCAGAGAGAAGGATATGCAGAAAGAGTAATCTGCATTACACAACTGTGATAATGTCCAATGTTTGAGGCTGCGGTGTCAGGGCTGATGTGTAATCCTTCGAACCCCAAGAAGTCAGCCAACAGTGTGGAGCATCAGCTCTTCATCCCACCTCATCCCAGATCACACAAGGGAGCAACAGGTGGGGGTTCCAGGGAAGGACCAATAGGCACTGCTTAAAGTCAACTGGAGGGATAAAGAAAAGTTCTGGCCAGATCTGTATACATCAATACATGAAAATAGAGTTAGGCTCAGCCAAAATGGAGAAAATTGCTCCTCCTTCAAGGAGAGTCACCCAGATGGTCCTCAACACTTCACAATGAGGATAATGAATCCAGGGAAGTTAAGGGTCATGTTCTAGTTCAAAGAGAACAGGAGGGTATGGTGTAACTAGAGGATGACACTTCCTCTGAATTCCCTTTTGGCTCACTACTCTCCACTACCTGAGTTCTGAGACACACTTGTACATGCCAACACAAACCACAAACTTCATCTCATCCATCACAAATATAACCACTCTCACATTCGGGCCTGTGTTGGTGGTTGGGACTTGAGACTTCAGTACCTTCCATTAAGTGAATGTTCCCTACTTTTCCCAATACTCTTCCCTATGGCCTCATCCTCCTTTCTTTTGATTCAGGAAAATGCCAAAGAGGGAGAAACAGATGGTTCATACTGGTATACTAAGGATTAGTAGGCACATGGTGGCTATAGATCCTGGCCATACTCTTTTTAGTCCATGAAACCAACCACTGAGGTACAGACTCTCCTCAGGAAATCACTCCTCTAACATGGTCCTGGGGTACATCCAGGACTGGACCACATGTTAATGCATTAGTCAGCTTCACATTGCTACTACAATGTACCTGAGTGTATTAGTCCATTTTCCCATTGCTGGGAATAAATACCCAACACATACAACCAAAAAGAGAGGGTTATTTAGCTCATAATTTCCAGTGGATTCATTCCAAAGTTGGCTGGTTCCAAGGCAAAAAGTGGGGAGGCATAGTGGAGGAGCATGGAAGAAGATAACTCACCTCATGTTAGCCAGGAAGCAAAGAGAGAAAGTAGAAGCTGGGAACAACAGTGCACCCTTTTGATCATTCCCCAAGTGACCTGCTTCTTACCAGGCCCTACCTCCTAACTGCACACTTAGTTACTGAACTCATCAGCTAATAAATCCACTTTTGGGGAACATTTCAGATGTAAACTGTGCTCGCTTCAGCAGCACATATACTAAAATCAGATGTAAACCATAACACTAAGGCAATTAACTTAGTAGAAAAAAATATTATTTAGCTCATAACTTAAAGCAGTAGTTGTGAACCTGTGGCACATGTGCATCAGTGGGCTGTTTGTATCACTAGAAACTAGAAGGTTCACCAAAATGGGCTTAGCTTAGAGGTTCAGGTCCAAGATGAGTAAGCACACTGGTTTTGAGCCTCCCACTCAAGTGGTATTTCACGTGTCAGAGGAACTGATAATGTCATGATCCAAAAGTAGACAAGAGGACAGGCTATTTCCCACAATTCCCTTCAGCAGAATCCCCCTATAACTTAAAGGACCTCTCACTAAGACTCCTCCCTGAAAGTCCACAGAACTTCATAATAGTTCCATCTTGGGGACCAAGCCTTTACCACATGAACATGGAGGTCACTCATCCAAACCATAGCAGTGGCCAATTGAGACATGACTCCACATGTGAAGAGAGTTCAGATACTTAAGCCATATGCATAAGGAAACTTGCCATGCTCAGTGTATTTGCTGGACCATTTGATGAAAGAGACAGCCAAGAGGAAAAATCTCTCTGCTTATCCTCTGATCTACCTCATAAGTTTCACTTGGCTCTAGGAAGTTCAAGTTCATCTTCATCTCGGCCATGGCTGCCTTTGCATGAAGAGGTCTTAGGAAAGGTATCATGATCCACCATCAATAAACATCATGGAAGACAGGTGGACAATAAGGGCATATTCTCTAAGATATCCTATTAGTTGTTTCCCTAGATAGCCTCATGTGCCCATTATCTTTCTAGACTATGCTCCTGTTTCTGGTAGACACCACGAAGACCCTGCCATGGTTCATTTAGAGAATGACTTCATACACCCAAGTCCAGAAATCTTTATCATGTGGACACAGACCATAGGTACCAGATTCACCTAGTCCCTCTCACTGGATCAAGTGCTACAGACCCTGAATTTTACTGGACAAGTTGCTATGTTCCCTTTTAAAATAACTGGTGTCAAGACCTATGTTCTAGGAAGCACTCTGGTCCTCTCACCATGCTCTGTGGTACTCAAAGGTTGTACATGGAGTATGGTTTCTAGAAGGAGTTCTCACCTGGTTGTGACTGTATAGTACATCTTCTAAGGATTCATCTGTGTGCCCCAATACTATATTAAGTAGAGAATGAGAGGAAAGACCTTGAATCTCATGGAGTGAGAAGAAAATTCAAATCTGTCAAGATCTGGGATTTCTAAAATGTTAAGTCCTTACCTGGAAAGGATCACAAGCCATGCTGGTTTGTTTGAGACAAAATATAGTCTATGGGTGTCATTACTTTTGTATCACTTGCTCTGATGCTCCTTTTGTATGTGGATTAAATGTAAGAGCTATGGAAGGATCCTCCTCATTCACATACCGTGATATTGGTCATATACTCCAATATTTTTATGCTTTGACCTAATACAGGTGGCTCTATACCAATGCCAATTCAGATATTCCTAGTTGATGACCTACCTGTTTAATGATTGTTTCCACTTACTATCAAGACTTCCTCTTCAGACTTAGGCCCACCACATGGACTTATGACCCATCTTTTTTGCGGACAGTTCCACACATCTTGTTTACAGATTCTCAAGGTCTTCTTTATAAGGTATACTTTAAACAGTATTGTGGGGCTGGTGAGATGGCTCAGATGGGCTGGTGAGATGGCTCAGTGGTCTAAAGCACCTACTTAGAACAAGCTTAGCAGAGCACAGGGACCACGGTTCAATCCCCCAGCACCACATGCCAGCCAGCCCTGCCCCCTGGTGGGCTGAGCTGGCCACACACACACACACACACACACACACACACACACATATAAATAAATAAATTTTTAAAAAACAGTATTGTAGTGTTTTCGCTGATTGTACTGTATAGTATAGTACTGTAACTCTGTTACACATTGTAGTACTGCAGGTAACAGTTATGCAAATAAAACCAAAGTCATCAAGTTGGAGTATCCTTTGTCCATTTCTTTATTCTGAATATCATCACCAAACACTATATACAATTCCTCATTTAGCTATCAGTTCATTTAGCAACCTAGGTGCATGAGCAGAACTTGGTCTTTAAACATTGCATTTCTTTTATCACTGTTTTATAGTTTCCAGTGCTCAGATTTTCTACCTCCTTGGTTAAATTTAACCTTAATTATTTTAATTTGTTTATGTTATTATAAATGAGATTGTTTCTTGACTTTCTTTTGCATAACTGACTTTCATTGTCAGTAAATAAAAGACTGATGATTTTGGTATGTTAATTTTGTGTTCTACAACTTTACTGAATTTCCTTATTAGTTTCATAGCTTTGGTTAAGCTTTTGTATTTTCCTCTCTGTATAGCATCATGTCAGCTACAAACACAAATTAACTTCTTCTCCAATCTTGATGTTTTATTTCATTCTCTTCCCTAGCTACTCTGGCTAGCACTTTCAGGAACATATTGTATAGAAGTGGCAAGAGAAGTCATCCTTGTCTTGTTCCTGTTCTTAGAAGAAATTTTCCACTATTAAGTGTAGTACTAAGTATATCTTTATCATATATGGCTTTCTATAACTCTTGCATTCTTTCTGTAACTAATTTGTTGAAAATATTTTCCATGAAATCATGCTAAATTTTTGTTAAAGGGTTTTTTTGCTTCTATAACTTGGTCATGTTTTTTCCTTCATGATAGTAATGTGATATATCACATTTATAGATTCCCATATGTTGGACTATCCTTGCATCTCTGTAATAAATTGCAATTGATCTTAATAAATTATCTTCTCTTAATGTTGACTTCAGTTTGATAGTATTTTGTTTTAAATTCTTGTAACTATGAGGGTCTACTAGGCTAGAAATGGACTCTGGGTTTGCTAGAGCTTGGAATCAAGAGGGCTGTCCTGGAGCTATAGGTACTGGCCTAAACCCTGTGTCTGCAGGTGCTAACCTGGGGATTGTGTGTTCAGTTGCTGCTGTACAG